TATCTTAGCAAGAGTCGGCATCTGCAGGAAAGAAAGAGGCAAACAAATTGGCAAATTGATATAAGATTGATTTCTAACCTTAGATACCTTATTAATGAATGAGAGTTGAGACTCCATCAGAGACTAAAACTGAAATACCCCATGTCATGTTGATCTACACAAACTCACAGTTCAGGAATTGTGAATGATTACTGTATTTTGTAACATGTTGCTTATCATCAAGTCTCTCTCTCACATATGCATTCAATCATGGTGCCTTCTGTACAATAATTTTTTACAGCAGTGGCAAGTATCATTTTTTCATCTTCAAAATAACCTGAAATTGATTTGGGCTTTTTATGATCTGCTAAATAAACTTAGGTACAACACTACATAATCTGCAAAACAGTTCACAGTCTGAATAACAGACAGCATCTCTGTGCCTGTTTCTGTAAGATTACCCAGGAAACATTCCCATGTATTTACCCTCACTTCCCCTTTCTAGGATTAACTCCCTAATGAATTCCACATTCTCTCATTCACTGCTCATCGCTTTTCAGATTTCACTGCATGTTAAATTGAGCCTCCTGTGGTCTCCGGGTGCCTGGTATGTTAAACAGGATGGTAATACAGCACAGTGGAGCTCTCTTACCACATTGACCAACCACAATCAAAATAGTAAGCAGGTTTCCATGAAGTATTAAAAGAGATTTATGAAAACAGATTGACATGGAAAAAAACATAGAAACTGAAGAGGAAATCAAAGAAAAACAAAGACAGTTTTTCCACACAGAGACTAAATCAAATCTAATGAGCAGCAGGACTAAAAATGCACACAAAGAAAATAAAGAATAATCTCAAGCTTCAGGGACTTTTTAAAATATTTGTGAAGCTAACGATAGTGCAGTTTCCCTGAAGCTAGACATGGGAAGGTTTAGTTGCACACGGATATTACATTCTGGTTAATTCAATCTGTTTCAGACTTTATGAAGGATTTCTTTAAAAAACATTAACTTTACCAACGTGAACAGGAAATGGCTTCCCATTCTGGAACAGTAGTTTAGCACGCAAAATAAGGCCACAGTCAATGGGATTTTATTGCACCTATTAAATGAAATTCTCAATCACCAATGATATCTCAAGAGTCTCAAATTGTACAGCATTTGCAATGCTACATATTCTGAATAATCTTATTCTCTTAAGGAAAAGAATACAAGGTATTTTGGGCCTTACGTAAAGATAGGATCGGGCATGAGCTCACTGCCTAATCTCACATTCAAAGAGAGGTCACTTGACAAAGCTAATGGAGGGAGACTTGCATGTGTACAACCATGTGACATTATCAATCAATAAATTCAGCCAGAGAAGGGAACAGACTGGAGTAGGAGAAAATGACAGATATAGCAATTTCTACAGTGAAATGATTTTCAGGTCCATTGAAATTACTTAAGCTTTTATACAGTAGTCTCCTCCTTTTAGAATGAATCTTGTACAAATGACTCCCTGTTAGAATGACTCTAGTCTACAAATCGCTTCATATCCTGGAACCTCCCTACCCATCTGACCTACTTTCTCCCCACTCCACTACCCACTGCCTCCGCTCAGCTATCTCTTGCCTCCGCTCGACCATTGGCGGCTGTACTTTCAGCAACGATGCCCCAAAGATTTGGAATTCTCTCCATCGATCCCTCCACCTTGCTCCCTCCCTCTTTTAGATCACAGCTGAAGACCTTCATCTTTGACCACGCTTACGGTTACCTCCTCCTCCCCTCAGTGCCAGACTCCGCTACTATTAAGCGCTCCAAAACACTGCCCAATATGAAGGGTGTTCTATAAATGCATTTTGTTGTTGTTGTTGTATGTCATGGGTCTGTTTGTAGCGCAGGTTTATTTAAAACCCTAATGTACCAGAAGTACAGTACACCTCAAACTTCCAGAACACTCCAGTCATTTAACATGCCTCAGGTAAGGAGGACATCCTTGGAGCTGAACTGTCTCCAAGGTGACACGTTGGGCAAAAGAAATTCGGAATGGAGCCAGCCCTCTGTAGCGGTCTCGGTAATACGGTTCCTGAGCCAACAGATCCGAACTACTGATTACAGCACAACAAGCCTGGCTCAGTCCTGTGGCTCAGTCCTGTGGCTCAGTGGTTAGAGCACTTGCTTTGCAAGCAAGACACCTGGGTTCAATTCCAGGCAGGGCGAAACCTTGGGCAAGTTTCCTTACTCCACACGCCTAATAATAATCCCTCCAAAACCCCAAACAATAATAAATTGGTCATTTTCAATCTATGACTGTTTGTGGGACATTGCTGTGCGCAATTGGCTGCCGCGTTCGCCCACAAATATACAGTCAATTCACTTTACAGTATATTCTGTGAAGCGCTTTGGGACGTCCTCCCGACGTGAAAAGCGCTATATCAAATGCAAGGATTATTATTATTATTATTATTATCGGCAGGACTTAGATTGTTTGATGCATTATTAACTTTGGTCTTATTCGTTGGTGGGTGTTGAGGAAATATTTGCTTATTGCGGGAATGAAGATAATTAACAGCGAAAGTTTGAACAATCATTGCACTTTGCTACAACTATGTAAAAAACAAAGAATTCCACAAAAAAGAAACTTAGTTCAACATTGAAACTACAGTAAGAGTACACTATAACAAATGTTATTTACAATGCGTCAGCAGCACTCTCAACATAGAAGTAGAAGGTTGTGGGTTCAAGCACTTGATCAGGACATAAATCTTACACTAATATTGGAGCAGCACTACAATGTTGGAGGTGCCCCTCTTGATATGAGATGTTAAACCAAGATGCCATTGGCACATTCAGGTGGACGTTAAAGATCCCTGGCCACTATTTGTAAAGAGAAGGGAGTTTCTCCCAGTGTCAACAACAAATTACATTTATATCGCGCCTTTCATGTGGGAAGGTGTACTGGCCAACGATCCTCTAAATAAAACTGGTCCTTCATTTCATGGCTGTTTATAGGACATTGCTGTGCACAGGACATTGCTGTGCGTAAATTGGTTGCCCTGTTCGCCTATAATTTCACAATCAATACATTTCAGAGCAAAAATCCTTTGAAGTGCTTTGAGATGCTTCGACAACATAAGGCACTGTATTAATGTTGTAAATGTGCTCAACTTATGGCAGTCTCCTCAAATAACCTGAAGAGCTAAATATCCTCAATGAGTACATTATCTATATATACATACAAGATCTATCAATGCAAAATGAGGGTAGAGGAAATCTAGAACCCTCTCCCCCAAAATGCTGTGGATGCTGAATCAATTAAAATTTTCAAGACTGAGGTGGATAGATTTTTGTTAGGTAAGGGTATAAAGGGATATGGAGCAAAGGCAGTTAAATGGAGTTCAGGTACCGATTAGCCATGATCTAATAGAATGGCGGAACAGGCTCAAGGGACTGAATGAACATATTTCTATGTTCCTGGGTTCAAAGGCACATTTAGACTGGATGCATCTAACCAGAAGTTAAAAGAGAAGTCTAATTACCATAAGTCTAATTCTGTCAGAACCTATTAAATTGCTTTAATAATGGACTTGCTGAACATTTCAAATCATTCAAAAGAAAATTTATGGGTATGCAACCAAATTTAATCTCCCTCCGTAATTACATGGAACTACACCCATCTGAAGGATGCTCCCTCAGCACTGCATTGGTGTCAGACCAACTAGATTGTGAGCTCCGAGTGCATATTTACACAAGTAAAAGACAAATGAACATTTGTACATCCTCCATCCCCACCATCCTCTTACACGGTTTTAAATATAGCATTCTAGGCATTTGAACGTGCTTGCTAACACATACTGTATAATGTCCTGCCAATTATGTACTCAAGTTTCCATTGCAGCATTAGAAAGACTTACAAATGACCACATTTGTAAATTTGATATATAAATCATTGGGAGGCAGGGATCACTGCCATGCTGTGGAAGGAATGTCAAATTGCTGGGTTCTGGAAGAGGGTAATTGTAACTTGTTCTGACATCACATGCAAACAATGAGATAATGTTTTGTAATGTAAATGGTGTGACTGCTTCACATACTGAACTCAAGACCCACAATGTTTCATCATAAACTTTTTGCACAGGTCTGAAAATATAACTTTATATAGAAAATATAACTTTATTTAGAAAAGTACAATCCTAATTTTCCTTCAAGAGGAATATGTACTGGCCCACAAAATATACAATCAATTCACTTTACAGTATATTCTGTGAAGTGCTTTGAAACGTCTCGAAGACACGATAAGGCACTATATCAAATGCAAGAATTATTATTACTCTTTAATTTGTACATATCAAACAGATTGTTGCTTCAAAAACAAGTCTTTTTTTAAAAAAAAAGAAACGTCCTGATTTTGTACAGCCCTACAACAGAAACCTTTGTGAACAATAATAATTTGGTCACTCAATCCAGGACACTGCTGTGCGCAATTGGCTGCTGCATTTCACCCACAAAATATACAGTCAATTCACTTTACAGTATATTCTGTGAAGCGCTTTAAGACGTCTCGAAGCGCTGTATCAAATGTAAAGCTAATCACTACAATTAGTATTATTATGATGATGATGATGAAGATGATGACCTGCTTAAAAGCCACGTACCTGCAACAAACAAATCTAAACTGGGGGGGGAAAAAAAAAGAGTCGCACAGTAGTGGTCAAGTGGTGACTGTCACCGTGTTTTGGTAAATAATGTGACTTGGCATTGTCGGGTCTTCTCAAACCTCCACAACCCAAACCTTTGCGAACAATAATAACAATAACAAAAACAAAAAGTGAGTTACATTGCAAAGCCTTGAGAGCTGAGGCTGAGCTGAGGCTGAGAGCTGAGGCTGAGGCTGACCGCGAGGGGTGCTCTTCGGGAACATTCATTCAAACTCTTTCCAAGTTAATTCTGAAGTCAAAAGAGATTTTTTTTTGTGTGTGTGTGTGTGTGTGGTGGGGGGGGGAGTGAGGAAAGGAGAGGAAGTTTGCTCTCACTTACTTTTCAGGGCGTTGATCAGCATAGTGCCGTCTTTGATCAGCTCTTTGATGAACTTGTTGGTGCGCTCGAGCTCCAGCTCGTGCGCTTTGAGGCGCTCCCTGAAGTCGGGGCTGTCCAGAGAGCAGTCAGTGAACTCCAGCGTTGGTAACCCCATTGCACTCCTCCCTCTCTCTCTCTCTCTCTCACACACTCACACTCTCTCTCTCTCTCTCTCTGTGTGTGTGGCTCTCAGCCTTCTCTCCCCGCACCGCTCAGAGGCGGACACCACCGGGTCACTCCGCCGCCGCAGTTACAAAGCTCTGACCATCTGCACACTAATAAGCTGCAGCTGGCGGGGGGGGGGGGCAGCTCTCCCCTCCTCTCTCTCTCTCTCTCTCGGTACGGTTCCCCCCACCCAACCCAAAGCAAAAGAGAGAGAGAGGGGGGGGAGAGAGAACAAAAAAAAATGCCGCTTGTTCTGTGCTTTTGTTCTGTCGCCGCTTTCTTATTTGTGAGTGGAGTTGGTTTTGGGGGAAGAAAGTTCTTCAAAGCGGTGCAGCAGTGTAGCCCGTCATGATGGAGTGAGCGCTGTGCACTCACTAACTAACCCTCTCCCTCTCCGTCTCTGTGTTTAACACTGAGGTTTCCCTCCTGGTCTCCGCGCTGCCCCAGTGCCGACCCCACCGCAAACATCCGTGTGTCTCTCTGCTCTGACAGACTGCGGTGGGGGGAGGGGGGGGAGGGGTGTGGGGGAGGGGGGTGTGTGGGGGGGGTGTGTGGGGGGGGGGTGTGTGGGTGGGGGGGGTGTGGGGGGGTGGGGGGGGGTGTGGGGGGGGGGGGGTGGGGGGGGGTGGGGGGGGGGGGTGGGGGAGGGGGGTGGGGGGAGGGGGGTGGGGGGGGGGTGTGGGGGGGGGGTGTGGGGGGGGGGGTGTGTGGGGGTGGTGGGGGGGGGGGTGTGTGGGGGAGGGGGATGTGTGGTGGGGGGGGGGGGGGTGTGTGTGTGGGTGGGGTGTATCACAGTATCAGTGTTTTACAGCTTTCAAAATGCTCCCCAGATTGTAGATCCTCTCCTCTCCCCTTTTTATACCCCACTTTAGGTGCAGCTGCTTCAATTGGACCTGATGTTGTCTTAGCTCCAGGTTTTTTTATACCAGTCACTTTTGTTGAGAGTTACAAATCGATGAAGGGATCGCCTCTAAAAGGTGCGACATCAATGCGAGAGAAGAAGTTTTTATTGTATTTCTTGACTTACTATCATTTTTTCTCTTGATCATTTGGGAGTGCTGGCGTGGGGCGGGGGCAGAACCCCACCTTGCCATAGCAATCTAGTTTTTATTGATCAGTTGTTTAGTGCGCCATCCCCTGAGGGCGGAGGAACATATTGGATACCCATGCTCTAATGTTGTAGGGAAACTTAGCCATCAAACAAGTCATTGTGCAAAGTGTTGCAACTGCACTTTGTAAAACCATGCAATATACCAGTAGGAGACACTGGTAAACTTTCTCTGACTTGTCCAGCGAGGGCCACTCTACCTGTTCGGCACACAATGGGAATAATCCAATTCCCAGTGTCATTTTGACCCATTCACTTCTTGTTAATGTCAGGCTGGTTAATCATCTAGAGTATCCTGGAGTTCTGCAGATCTGCCTGGCTCAGGTATCGGGTCACTGAGTCAGTTGCAAAGAATTAACTCACCCCTACTCTCCCTTTATACCAGTGCTGTCCAACCCAGTGGTCACTGGCTGCGCACATGTGGCCATTTTGCTTTGCAGATGTGGCCACTTCCACATTGATCAATCAACTTGTGTTTCACATAAGAAATAGGATATAGACCACTCACTTTGTGTGATCCAACATGCATGTTTTCTGTACATGTAATAGTGTAACTTTACTGTCATTATCATACATACATCATATCACTCCGTTTGGTCTTGGTTGGCTGGATGCCCCTATGAGACATAACAGTTTCATTCCCTCATGCGTTGGCAGTCAGTCAATGCGAAAAACTTACTGCTGCTAATTTGCAGTGCTAAAAGAGTATATGTAGCTCATTTGCCAATTAATTTTATTTCACATTTTAAAAAATTGCTATCATGCTTTTGCTTCGAGCATGCGGTGCTGTACTCTGGTCTTTGTCAGGAATTAAAATAAGTGTAAATGAACTCAGGCTCAAGTCTAAACCAGTTGATTTGGGTAACCAGAAACAATGTATATTTATATCAGGGTAAAATGCTATCATAGTTCTTCTGCCACTAATTCAGCCTGTCCACGAGGTCCACAGGACCCTGACTGTACTGGATATCTGTGCAGTGTTTTTTTTTTGCCTGGGTCAGAGCTGGATTGGGTTTACTGCTGTGCACAATTGGCTGCTGCGCTTTGCCCACAAAACATACAGTCAATTTATTTTACAGTATATTCTGTGAAGCGCTTTGAGAAGTCTCGAAGACATGATAAGGCGCTATATCAAATGCAAGGATTATTATTATTACTTTGCTGATTGTGTATATTGTTTGTACAGACTTATTACAAAAGTGATCTCTTCTGAATGAATGATCAACTACTAAACTGGTCCATCAGTTTTAATAAAGAGTTGTGAGTAATTTGAAAACGCACGTTACTCAGGTTGGCTGAGAATGGTTCGATACACCACGAACCTTAAACCTGAGCGAATGGAGAAGTCAAATTTATGATCAAATTCGTTGAAAGGAATTTAGTTAAAAATGTTACTTGGGCATTGAATTGTGAACAGTATTGAAATCAGGATTAGCGTTCAATAGCTCATCTGCAGTGCGTATAAACTATGGATTCTGTTGCACTAGAGACCGAACTTTGGGATGGGGAGAGGGGCATTGAGGTCTATCTGATTCAAGAAAACACATTGTGTAAAGCAGTGTTGTCCAAACCAAATTGGCAAGTGGTCACGATGTGACCACTGAGAGACAGAAATTACCAGTTTATAATAAAAAAACTCAGTGTAGATACAGTACAACAGAACATCGCACATGTATACAGTAGTGCCTTATCACAGTGTTGAACCATTATAAAAAGCATCACAGAAATGACTGTAAAGCAAACTGTGGATTTGTGGGCGAAACAACAAAACAACAACAAAATTACATTTACAGAGCTCCTTTCAGGTCGAGAGGACGTCCCAAGGTGCTGAGCAGTCAGGGATCAGGACCCGAGCATGGAGGAGGGGTGGCGTAGAGGTGAGGGAAGACAGAGAGGTGGGAGAGCGACTGAAGGCACGATCTTCAGAACGATCTTGAGAAGGAGGGTCTTGAGAATGGCCTTGAAGAAGGCAAGGGAGGAAGCGAGGCAAAGGGACTGTGGGATGGAGTTCCTGAGTGTGGGAGCAGAGAGGCTGAAAACCCGGCCACCGATGATAGGGTGAGTCGAGCGGGAGACATGGAGCTGGCCGGAGCCTGATGAGCGGATGGAGCGGGCAGGTTGGTAGGGAGTCAGCAAGTCAGAGAGGTAGGAGGGAGCAAGGACATGGACGGCCTTAAAGGTGAGGACGAGGATCTTGAATTCAATCCTCTGGGGGATGGGGAGCCAGTGGAGCCGGGCGAGGGTGAGGGTGATGGGGTCATGGAGCCTGGTGCGTGAGAGTACACAAGCTGCAGAGTTTTGGATGATCTGCAGCTTGTGAAGGGAAGAGTTGGGAAGGCCGATGAGGAGGGAGTTCCCATAATCAAGCTTTGATGTGACGAATGCGTGGGTGAGGGTTTCGGCAGCCTGAGGGGTGAGGCAGTGGCGGAGTTTGGCAATGTTGCGGATGTGGTGGTAGGCAGTGCCGGTCATGGCGTGGATGTGGGGGAAAAAGGACAGTTCAGGATCAAACAAGACACCCAGGTTCCTGACTGGCTTAGTGAGGTGGAGTGTGCAGCCGTGGAGGCTGATGCTGCCAGCCCCCGAGATGCAGAGGCACTAGAGTAAGCCAATCAGGAGGCCCTCGCTCTTGCTGACGTTGAGTTGGAGAAATTGTCCCTTGTCCAGGACTTGATGTCGGACAGACAGTCGGCCAGGACACCAGTAGTCCTGGAGTTGAGGGTGGAGGCAGAGAGATAGAGTTGGGTGTCATCCACATACATGTGGAAATTTACCCATGTCAGGGGGTGATGTCAACAAGAGGAAGCATGTAGAGGGTGAAGAGGAGGGGACTAAGGACAGAGCCCTGAGGAACGCCACACGAGATTCTGGGGCTGGAAGAAATGCCATTTGCAGAGACGAAGTGGAGGCGGTGTGAAAGGTAGGACCTGAACCAGTCAAGGACAGAACTTTGAAGGTTGAGGTGGGAGGAGAGGCGGTGGAGGAGGATTGAATGCTCCACAGTATTAAAGGCGGCGGAGAGGTCGAGGAGGACGAGACGGCAGAGGGAGCCCTGGTCACACATGGTCAGGATGTCATTTGTGATCTTGACCAGAGATGTGGGCAGCACGGAAACTCAATTGGAGGGGCTCACAGAGGGAGGAGGAGGGGAAAGAGCGAGGATGTGAGGCGATGGCTCTCTCAAGGACCTTGGACAGAAAAGGGAGATGGGAGATGGGCCGGTAGCTGGATAGCTGTGATGGATCAAGGGAAGGTTTCTTCAAGGTGGGGTGATAGTGGCTATTTTTAGGGGGATAGGAACAGTGCCAGATGACAGGGAGAGGTTGGTGATATCGGCGAGTAGTGGAGCAAGGAGGTGGAGCTGGGATTTAAAGAGAGGGGTGGGGATGGGGTCCAGGGTGCAGGTGTTGGGCTTCATGGAGGATGTGGTGGTGGTGACAGAGGGGGTGACAGGTTCAAAGGTGTGGAAGGAGGGATGGGTAGTGGTCAAAGTGTGGGGGGAGGGGGTGGAAGTTGGGAGGGCAGTGGCAGCTGAGCGGATTCCTTCAATTTTGGACTCAAGGAAGTCCAGCATTTCCTCGCAGTGGGAGTCGGAGGAAAGAAACAGCACCCGTTTGCACACAACAATTTCCTTCAGACATGAATCGGATTGAATCTATGCTGAATGATTTATGATCATTTTTTAAAATGTGATTGTATCTTTGGAACTGTTCAAATACATTTTTAAGTAAATGTTAGCAGACATCATGACCACAACCATACTGGATAAGCCCCCCTGAAGTGGCCCCATGAAGATGCTTCCACTAATTTTTCTGCAATATGATACAGACCTTCTAAAGACACATTTTTAGCAGGAATCATGATCCAGCTGAATTTTTGTGATAGTCATGTGTTGCATACATCCATTTACTCATTCTCGTTACCAGTAATACTTGCACCATGTGGATGATAATCACTACCAAAGGTTATTGCAATATGATTCAAGAATGCAGCTTAAA